GCACGTTGGCCCGGCATGGAGAGGCCTGTTGTAGCGTCGATAAGTTGGTCATATCGGCCGTCAGAAGATTGTAGTACGCCAAGAAGTCAGACCCGATGATCGGCTCTGCGACGTCGGCGATGACGAAATTTCATGGATAATCTCGACACAGGCTTTTGAAGTTGATGTTGAGGCGGAGCGAGCCGTAAGTCTTGATGGTCGAATGGTTCGCCATGCTGAGCTCAAAGGACGTGCAAGGACGCTTGTCACGCAGGAAGGTTCGGGCAAAGCAACAGATGTCGGAGCCACAGTCGACGAGGAACCACCGCTTTGCGACTTGGTCGGTGACAAATATGCGACGACCTCTAAGTTGGCAGCTCGCGGCCGTCTCTACGGGCTGCCGTTGAAGTTTTCCTGACGTCCAGCTGCGCAAGGTGGTTGACATTTCCGAGCTTTGTCCCCGAAGCGGCGATGGTTGTAACAGGGGCCGTTATTACCGTGCGATGAAGCGGCGTTGTTGTCTTGGCTTTGGGAGCATTTTTGTGGACGCAGCTTCGGGCTTTGATCCAGGCGCCTTTGAATTGAGTCCAGCTGACGGGTGATTTCGTCGACACGGCGCGCGAGCTCGCTGCTGAACTGTCGGGTGTCAACGGCGTTGACGGTGAGAGGCGATGCTGGCAACGAAATCTCGACGACTTAATCGGCGATGTGAGAGAGCTGGTCCAGCGGCAGATTCGGTTGCACCTGGAGGATGGCCTGCGCATGTGAGGGTAGACGCTGAAGCCAGATGATACGGAGGCGGGAGTCGTCGACTGGGGTGCTGCCCAAGAGGTCACGCATGTAACGCAGGAGCTGCGATGGCTTGCGATCACCGAGTTCTTCGTGCTGGAGTAGATGACGCACCTTCTCGTCTTGTGAAGGTGAAAGCCGGTGGATCAGTTCTCTCTTCAGGTGTAGGTAACGGTCATCAGCCGGGGGATTCGCAAGTCTATCGCGAACCTCAGCCGCATAGCGAGAGTCTAGATGGGTGACGACGTAGTCGTAGCGCGTCCTGTACTGGGTGATGCATGCCGTGGAAAACTGCGCCTCGACTTTAACGAACCACACGTCAGGCGCCTCTCCCCAAAACGGTGGAAGTTTGACGGCGACGCGACAGACGTCCGTGTCGGTGGCGGCCGCAGCAATGGAGGCGCCCGAGATGGCAGCGACTGCTGCAGCGAAGTTTTGGGGGCCGTGGCCCAAGTGGGGTGGTGCACGGTCGTCAGACGAGAGTGCTTCATATTCATTCGCTGCTGCTGTTGCCGAAGCTGCTGCTCTTGGTTCTGGATCACTTGTTGCTGGGCCTGCAGTTGTTGCTGCAGTTGTTGTACTTGTTGTTTAAGGGCAGCAAGGGTTTCCTCGTCGGCCATGGCGGTGTGGTACGTTCGTTTTCCGGGTCACCAGATGTGGGATAACATAACTTTAATGTTTACGCACTGAAGGTTCTACAACCGCCCCTGAATCGGAGCACACACACAGTTTTCTTTCTTCTTTCGGGCGAGAGTGTTCTTATCGCCAGCGCCCGTCTTTGGAGGCATCGCCGCGACGCACAGGAGCAGAAGCGGCATCGACCCGTTTCTCCACAAGCTCTTTGTTCTAAAAAACTTTATTTCTTCCCATTACCGCCACAGAGTAACATAGTAAACTCTATGTTACCATGGAGACGTAGGTGCAGTGCTGGTAGTAGCAAACGCGTGTTTCGTAAACTCAGTGTTTTGAGAATTGCTGTGTGCGCCACTTTGGGCTGCGACGCCAAACCCAAGATCCTTTGATTTCACTAATGACCAGGAGTCCACAGACACCAAAACATCCATGTGGGCCAGTTATTTTGGAGTCTTATCTACGAAAAACCTCGACGAGTGTGAGAGACACTGCTGGGCCTTGGGCCTAGCAGCAAGTATACGAACGCACGATTGCCCCTCAAGCCATGTCGACGCAACATCTGCAGCCCATTATTCATGGCTACGACCTGGAAAGTATGCAAGTTCGAGAAATCCAGCTGGCCGCTCCATCATCGGCCAATTTTCCCCCTCATTACAAGGGTGTAGTTCTATAAATGCGTTGCAACCACGTACACTCCTTAAAAAATAGTAGTGCTTGCAAACCTTGGCATAGTAGTGGTTTGTCACATATGTCGCAACCCTGGTAGTAAGTGCAGTTAGTAACGGCGAGGGTGGTAACAGTCACTACTTTTGGCGTTACTAACAGCTTTAATAACTGTTACTTTACTAGCCGTTACCACCCATGGGCAGTAACTTTAGAGGTCTTCAAAAAATAAAAGTTGGACGCGATACTACCGTACTCATTTAGCCACATTATTTCCCCATTGTTAACAATAGTTAACTTATGTCTCGTTACTACACAACTTTTGGTAATCTTGCATGACATGTGAACGCGAGCAGTACATGTGTTTAGAAAGAGTGGGTAACGATTTAGAGTACTAGGTACTCTACTATGGGAGAGCTTAAAGCCGTCCCTCTTCGGGCGAGGCAACACTCAGGGTCTAATGCTATCGGAGCAGTACATAGCCGTAATATTGTACACTGCACTGCTACATTGAGTGATCGACTCGCGCAGTTCATATAGCCCCTACTTTAAGATGCATTTCTGGCACAGGTGAGCACTCATTTTTCAAAATGAATTATAATAGGTGCGAGCCTAGAACACTATAGCATACTACCTGACTATGCGTCTTTGAAGACGCAGCACAAGACATTTAATCAACCATACTTATAAAAATGATGTGCCATATCTATTCATTATAAAAGTGCAACAATAATGCATTAACTACAACGGTCGAAAGAAGGTACCGAACGCATTAACATAGTCTCAATGCATTGGTTTGTGGGATTTAACGTCCCAAAACCAACATATAATTATAAGAGACGCCGTAGTGGAGGTCTCCGGATATTTCGACCACCTGGGGTTCTTTAACGTACACCCAAATCTGAGTATAGTCTCAATTCAGTTGAATATTTCGCTTCACTAATATATCGTTGGTTAGAAGGTAATAATATGTTCTGGGGTTGAATGTGCCAAAATCACAATAATATGAAACACGAGGTAATGAGAACTCCTGATTAATTTTGACTATCTGGTTAATTTTGGTCAGCTTGTAATGTCAGTGGGTTGTAATTTACTAAGTTTGGTGTAATTGCCTATTACAACGCGTGAATCACTTGATTATGGTCCGTAACCTTACTTTTACGTTGTGATAATAGTATAATGCTGCTTACATAACTAGTTTCGTAACTTAAAATAAATGTTTTTCTTTATCCCTAGATATCTAATACGTCTCTTTTCTGTTTAAAGATGGTACGTAAAAATGACTTCTTTCATGAATCATTAGAATATGTATCAGTTGTTAATTTAGGTTAGATAGTTCATGGCCGGGTAGCAAAAAGGTAGTAACCGTGCAAGAAAGTAACGGCTTCAGTTACTACCTGTTTCATTCTAGTTACTGTTTACTAACTTTGGTAAACAGGTAGCAAAACCGTAGAAACTGTTTCAGGTAGTAACTGTTTACTAATGTAGGTAGTCAACAGGTTGCGAAAGGTTAGTAACGGTTTAATAAAGGTAAATACCTATTTGCTTTCATTTACTACCTTTTTACTAACTTTTTTATGACTGTAGGCACTCACACCACCTACGAAAGCGGAGACGTTGACAACCACAAGCTGTGCTACAGGAGCTATTTGCAATCTTTGCGGGGGTGGACCCTGCAAAAATATAGGCGCACCCCGCTACACGCGTCACAAGACTTCCGATAAGCACGTAATGAAACTCAGGCGAACTTGCAACTTGAGGCAATAAGTATAGAGGCAAAGGCAGCATTGGCAACGCCATACGGGCAGCCATCTCTCAATGTAGAGTCAACGCAGAAGCAGACCCGAACCTGACACATCAATGCAGCCTACACCAAGTGTAGAACTTTTCTTTGGAAACAGAATCTGACCGTCATGGGCTCCAGAAATGAGTGTGTGCTGCGCATTTTCCTTAGCTTGGAACAGCTGTGGTTGACCGACAAACTATCAACGTGCAAGTCTACCTCAATGCAACAGGCAACATGGGCAAGGGCGCAATCCAGCTGGCCAACACATTCACCATAGATTACATTCTGGAGAACACCACCTCGGCTAGCAACCCAATCATCGGGGACTGGAGGCGTGGCTTCCCCAATGTAGTGACGCTCTCCCAAGTCTCTTCTTCCTCAACGAAGCCAGCCTTATTGCAAAAGTATAGGAAAACCAATGCAGTTTGTGCCATCTGCGAAAAGCCTGGAAACCAAATGGACGTGTGCCCCGAGCCCGTGCCGAGAACCGAACGATATGCGCTCTGCGGCAAAACGGGGCCGGACGTGTCGCTACCATGCGAGTGCCATCTAATTGTCTGCTCTGTGGGTGGTCGCACGCTACCTGCTCTCGGAACTGCCGGCGCAGATATCACCAACCTGCAGCCTCCACCAAGCCCTCAGGCTAGCAGGCTTGGCCAAGCACGCAACCACAGCCGGACACCATCTGGCAACCATGCATACAACCACAAGAAACAGCAAGAAAGCATCAACGCGGCCGCTTAGTGACGCGGCGCCACGCACTTTCTCCATGGAGAGAAAGCAAACAATGCGCGTGGCATGCTGTGCGTCCTCTCTTCATAGGGAGAGAACGCGTTGACATGCGCTGGCACGCTGCATCAGATACGTGTGGTCGGGTCTTAAGAAGCGTTGCACCTTATAATGTTGCACCTAAAATAGTTGTGTATGAGGCATGCCGGTGCGAAGCTTTGCGTGCTCTTAGTTTTTCGATAAGACTAGAGCTCCTCAACATTTTCTTCTTGTGCTCTCTCTTCCTCAGATGAGAAATCATACTTACTAACACATCTTTGCACACTACATCACTGTTGCTATTACGAGCCGTATGCGATAGCCCCTGAAAAACGACAACAGTATTCGGACGTCTGACCTGAACGCGACAATTGCCTTTCAGGTATTGGAAATCCCTGTGTTCCTTCTGGGCTTTGTCCAGGTCCTTCAGAGTGCAAGGAGTCCCTGTACTGTGACCCGGACCAAAGGGCCTGTCTTCCTTTTCCAATGCCGCCCTCTGAAGAGATCCGAGGCTACAACGACACCCTCCATTCCATACTACTCGAACCAGCCCAGAAAGAGCCACGGAAGCCTAATCCCGTAGACACTGTCAAAGTGATGAACAATGCTTAAGCGTAATAATTTCATGTTAACCGAAAATGTCCCAACTAGGTGACAAATGTTCTGTATAGGCTAAACAGCCAGCAGTAAAGGAAGAAGTGCTGTTTCCGAAGCTGAATCATTTTTTTTAGTTCTACGCGCTATAACCACTGCACGATTGTGGGGCTCGCCATAGTAAGTGCTTGGCTTCATGGTATTTAAGACCATGGCCTCTGAGATGGCGGGCTCGCCGTGCGCCCGCCATCTCTGAGGCCATGGTAAGACCAATTAAAGATTACCAAGGTGCACTAACCATCGGAATGTGGGCATTTTTGCGCTTCTCCTCTGTTAAAATTAGGCTGCCACAACACGGAATCCAATCCTAGTCTCATAGTTCAGCACCACTCTATAGTAGTCATGTCATGGAGACCTTATGGTAATTGAAAAACGTAGTGTCGCCTTTGGCACAGCTGCTTCTTACAGCCGGAGTGTAAGGTTACAGTCGACGCTCGTTTGACACTCAGGCGTTGGACTCTCACTTAACATTTAACCCGCTCTTCTAAGTTGCGCGATTCATCGGTATGTGCAATGTTTAGGCTTCGTTACAAGAGAGATTCCACATAGAGTACTGCATATCACTGCTTCATGTATACTATTGCCTGCTATATGTTTGTGGTGCGGGCTGAGGATTTCTTTTTCATACCTCACAAGAATGTCTAAACGCGGGAGCACGAGCAGCTTTTGCTCTGCTGGATGGACGGGCGAGTGTCAAACAATCAAACAGATAAATGGTGCCATGAAGGACTCTACTAGTCCTACTTAAGTTCTGTAGCTTGCTCTACCGAGTTGTGAATTCTCACAATCACCTTCTTTTTAATTTTAATCGTCACTGCAAGCTTCTTTTCAGTCAAAACTTTGCATAATTTTTCGCATCCATTCGATTATTTTTTTCTGGTCTCAAGTACAAATTCATTCCTCTTCACAAAACTGTCCTTGCAGCGGTTTACCTGGGGTTGACTTAATCGTCTTTCGGTTATTTTCTGCTATTTTCGATTTCTGCTATAGATACCTAGGCTTCAGTGAATTTACTAAAACAAAACCCTTCAAAAACACAAGTCATTTTATATACGCCTAAAGGAAAAACCTTGATAAATAAGATGAGCTTATTTCTGGGATCTCAGCAGTTAGACATGGTTGATTCTGTTAGTATTCTTGGTGTATATTTTTCACGACACCTTACGTGGAATGTACATGTTTATGTTCTATACTCTCAGATGTCATTGGCCATTGGTGTCCTTGCACGTATGCGATCTCTTCTTCCCACTAAGGTCAAAATTATGATATACAATGCACTGGCATCATCTTTGTTACAGTACTGTAGCCTAGTGTGGTGCACAACCGGAGTGACGAATTTGCGCAAGTTGCACTTACTACAGAAAAGGGCCGTACGGCATATTGCGGCTGAACACTATCTGTCCTCTACAAAACTTCTTTTTCTAAAATATTATATTCTTCCAGTTTTCTTCTTGTACAATTACAGGCTGATGTTACGCTATAAATGGTTAGTCAAACATGGTACCAATACCACAATACATCTTGCTAAACTTGGCGTAAACACAAGTGTTCGACTCACCAGGCACAAAGAAGTTTGGACTGTACCCACCCCAAGAACTTTTTATGACAAACAATCATTGTCCTACACTTTACCTTCTTTGTTAAACGTTTTAAACTGCGAAGATTTTGATCCTTTCTTAAAACAAAACTGTCAGATTAAACACTTCGCCCAACTGATACATTATCCTCAATGATACATCTCTCAGAATTTATGCCCATTCTTTCCTTTTTATTATTGCTTTTCATGTTCATGCCACTTCATGACCATACATTTGAATTACTCTCTTTTTGTGTTAGCACGGTTTTCATAAACTTTTTGTATTACTTTTTTGTGATGTTATACCTGTATGTTTCTTTCATATTTGTTGTGCATGATTGACTGCCATTCCTGCTGCTTTGCCAACTTGTGAACGGGGTCAGGACCTCGTCAAGCTCTTGAGCTTTTAGTCCTGTACTCCACCTTAACTAAAGGAAATTGATTGATTGATTGATTGATTGATTGATTGATTGATTGATTGATTGATTGATTGATTGATTGATTGATTGATTGTGCGGATATATTGACATTCGCCTAGAGTACGCTTCATGCCATCTCGAGGTTGCTTAGCGTGCCGGCAGGTGGTAGCAATAGGAAACCAACTTCACTTTTGGTGAAGTCTCTTGGTGGCCAAAACAATTAGGCAAGACTGATACGATAGCGCTTGGTAGATTCCCTTCTCTCGATAGAAGTTTGTTCTAGCCGCCAATCTGGGTTGGCGATGGGTAGATACGAAAAAGAGCAAAAACTCAAGCCACAAGTAGCCAAAGTGGCCATGACATTCAGCTGTAGCATGAAATTCGTAGCAATATAGAAGATAAGTGATATCTGGAGCAGAGTTTCGTTATTGAACAATAAATAATATGACTTTGAATAACGACTGGACAAGATACATAAAGAGCACAACATTTTCCCTTTGCTACCACTTGAAGCCTAAGGTTAGCGAATAACTTTAGGTGAGTTACATGCGCCTTAATGCAGCCCCGCGGCGGTGGTCTTGTGGCTAAGGTACTCTGTTGCTGACCCGCAGGTCACGGGATTGAATCCCGCTTGCGGCGGCTGCATTTCCGATGGAGGCGAAAATGTGCTCAGATTTGGGTGGATGTTAAAGAACCCCAGGTGATCGAAATTTCCGGAGCCCTCCACTACGGCGTCTCTCGTAATCATATGGTGGTTTTGGGTCCCTAAACCCCATATATCAATCAATACGCCTGAATGCACCCTCTCAACAATAGATGGCGTTATTGGCAAAGTCGTTTTGGGTGAACCTAACTGAATCAACCTAACGGGTTGATTTTGACAATCCGGGACTCTTTAAGGCGCACCTAACTAATCTAAGTACACAGGTGTTCCTCAGTTTCACCTTCATTAAAACGCGACCACCGTGACAGGGAGTAGAACACACCGTCGAGCTTATCAGCACGACGCCTAACATGCTAAGTTATCACGACGTTTAGATAACTCCAAAAGCGGGTGGGCCTTGTCTTTCAGCGACTGGCTAGCGCTCTCAGCAAGCGTCGCTGCTGGGGAACACAAGTCACGCTCCCGCATGCTCTATTGTAGGGGCTGGCTCTATATTGCAGTAGTCGCGTAAGGGCCGTTCCACGCGCTTCCCGCACAGCCGTAACGCACGTGCCGGGACCCCTACCGCACGCAAGCGGGGGACAAATGAGCCCATTGGCGACACTGCGGAGGGTGAAAGAGCGTCGCCAATTGGCTTATTTGTCCCCCGCTTGCTTGCGGTAGGGATTGTGGCACGTGCGTTGCGGCTGTGCGGGAAGTGCGTGGAACGGCCCTAATACTGCCCCGAGCCGCATGCGGTCCGCAAGCCAGTATTATGCAGCTCCCGGCACCATGTCGTAGCGCCACCCTTGTCAGGTTCTATCTGAGGTCTGACATGTCAGTTTTGAGCTCCAATACAGATAGACAAGCAGATCGCTTCCTGTTGCATCTTTCACCGTCTCCACATTTTGCGATTGTTGTCATGTGTATTATTGCTAAATCACCCCTTTCGATGATAATTGATAACGAGAATCATCTAGTGACAACAATAATTATAACAGCTACCTATATCTTTTGATTAAAGATGACGGTTCCTGTCGATTCATTGAACTTTGTCTCATACCATGCAAAGCCCTCTTTCTCCTGTCCCTCCTCCCATGCGGCAGTAGGCCTCGCTGCTCCCGCTCTTCCGGCCGCGACGCTGGAATGTGTCAGCGTATTCGATCATTCCAACGACTATTCACGGCGAGATTGGGCTATAGGCGGCACCACCGTCCCGCGCAAGTGTGGATAGGCGGTCGGCGGCGCGTATACAAATACACGCAGTGGCGTTTGGTGCGTGCGGTCTGCGCCGATTGTCGGCAGATAAAATGCGTTGACTGTGGCTTACTGTTAATGTCTACGCTCTTCTCTACTGAATCGGTGCACGACGCCTATGCAACGTTAACATTACCCACGAGTAAAGTGCATTCAGCCTTTCATAGGGGTGCTCGCCCTGGTGACTCTCTTCACGCTTTCGCACTATATCACGCCTTTGCTGTGTTGTTTGTACGGGGTTAGTTTGTAGTCCGCCCGCGACGCACTGCTGTATCGTGACTGAATTACTTGCTTACATCTTTGTCATCTGCATACTACAAAAAAAGATAGACATATCGTAGAAAGCCCGCATATCTGTGCGATTCGTTCAGTACCGCCGTTCGCACCTATACGCATCTGATTTTTTCTCTCATTCTGTTCACCATGAAATGTGGGACAGTCGATAAGTCTAGTCGGGAAAGCTAAGTGGCTGACAGCGCTTTGCTCTACACTGCGTTTATCACGTGTACGCACATGTTATTGCACCAGTAAAAATCTTATATAGGAGTTCAGCAGAAAGCTTTCATCGACGGGTTACGTGCATGACAGTGCTACAACAAAGGTCCGGTTAATAGGACAAGCATATTTTTTAGACAAAATATTACCCTTGCCTTCGATTGATATGTCGGGTTTATCGTCCCAAAACCACTATATGATTATGAGAGGCACCATAGTGGAGGGCTCCGGGAATTTCGACCACCTGGGGTTCTTTAAAGTGCACCAAAATCTGAGCACACGGGCCTACAACATATCCGCCTCCATCGGAAATGCAGCCACCGCAGCCGGGATTCGATCTCGTGACCTGCGGGTCAGCAACCGAGTACCGTAGCCTCTACCACTGCCTACCACTGCCTTCCGTCGGTCACTAACAATGCCACACAAACGCCGAAAGCAATGTAAAAAAGATGAATTCGTCAGTGAAAATAAACATTATACAATAGGCATGGCGTCTGAACTAATTTTAAATGTGTGGGCTCATTAAAACATTCCTAAATTTTGAAATTTGAATAAAGTTATTTTTTGATATTTTTAAAAGAAATAAACTTATTATAAAAATAAATAGGAAAATTTTAATCCTTTTGTTTTAATTAAAAAAATAAATTTATTAACTTTTAGATTATCCC